CCCAGGGCCCCGCGTCTATTTTCAGAGCCCGCCTGGGGCTGCAGGCGAGGGCCCGGGCGGAGCGGACGACGAGGGCCCAGTGAGGCGCCAGGGGAAGGTCACGGTCAAGTACGACCGCAAGGAGCTACGGAAGCGCCTCAACCTGGAGGAGTGGATCCTGGAGCAGCTCACTCGTCTCTACGACTGCCAGGTGTGTCCCCCACCCTGCGCCGACACCCTAAAATTGTTCCCGAGTTGGGTCGCCTGGGAACCCCACCTTGAGCCCGTCTGTCACCCGAAGTCAATGGGCGCTCCGCTCCCGCGCGCTCCCCTGCTCTCCGTACTCCCCGCCCCTGGTATATGCTCTTTCTTATCTAACCTAAGTCACTCCTTTTTTATCCGCTGCCCTAGACCCTGTTTCATGCCACTACCTGGTCTAGCTTGGAGTCCTCTAGAAACCTCAAGGGATAACCTGGGCCTTGGACAGGAGATATGGGGTTCGTCTAGGCTGGCAGTGGAAGGGGGTCTACTTATTGCCTACTAGCCTAAACTGGTTAAAAGGTGCTAGCCTGGTTGGTGGGAGTACGGTTTTGCTTATTCTAGTGGGCTAACCTGGAACTCCATCTTTGCATGAGGGCAGACTAGCCCACTCTGGGTTCTGGTTCTCCACCCCATGACTCCTTCCTTGCTCCGACGGTGACTCAGGCCCCGGGGGGCAGGGTGGAGGAGTGGGCTTGCCCTGTGCTGTCTACCCTAGCCCAGCCCTGGAAAGCAGCTGGCTGCAGACAGTAGAGACGCTTCCTGGCGGGAGAGGGGTGGCGAGGACCCCCTCCCTCAGCAAAGCATGGGCTCTTTGTTTTCCCTTTACCAGGCCCTTCTCACTGACCCCTCACCCTTCACTTCCTCCTCACTCCCGGGAAGCTGTGACAGGTGTTTGGGGGAGGGGAAGGGCTGTGATGAGCTGAGACAGCTGGCCCCACCTGTGCTCTGGTTGAGATGGGGGGCCCGGAAGTTGGGGAGACACATCTGTGAGGTTCCCAGCCCAGGATCCCCAGCCCTAGTTGTCTGGCACCCAGAGTGCCCAACTGGCAGGGACAGGAAGCTCCCCCCATCGGGCAGTTTGCCTTGGCACGAGCCTGATCTGTTTTCTTCCTTGGAGCAGCTGCCGCTGTCTGCTGGGCAAAGAGGGCTGTCTCCTCTGCAGTAGGCAAGGGCCTAAGCCGGGGAGCCCCTCTCACACCCTCTCTCCCAACTTAGGCCCTTGTCTCTCCCTCCTCCCCTACCCCCACCCCAGGAAGAGGAGATCCCAGAGCTGGAGATTGATGTGGATGAACTCCTGGACATGGAGAGCGATGATACTCGGGCTGCCAGGGTCAAGGTGAGAGTGGGTAGGAGGTAGCAGGGCCGGGTCAGGGGAGCAGGAGATAGCGGACTTCCCGGAGGCACTGCCCCTTGGGTACGCTAGCCTCTGGGAGCCACACCTTCTTTGATCTGAGTTAGCCAACTCTGTGATCTTGGGCCTCAGCTTCTGCCTCCATCAAATGGGGTTAATGGTACTTGCTTAGCTGTTCAGGAGCTGTGGCATCTCCTGTGCCTCAGGGTGGCCCCAGTGCCTTGTGAATGAGTACTGGTGAACTGTAGGTCCACGTTCTTGAGAACTCATAGTTACCCTTATTCCCCATGCCCCACTAGGAGCTGCTGGTTGACTGTTACAAACCCACTGAGGTAAGGAAGTGGTTTTCCCCAACGGTGGGGTGAGGAGCCTGGGGTCCTGTCATCTCTGGGTCTGGTCTCCCTAATGTCCTTCCTCCCTCCAGGCCTTCATCTCTGGCCTGCTGGACAAGATCCGGGGCATGCAGAAGCTGAGCACACCCCAGAAGAAGTAAGGGTCCTCGACCCAGATGAACGGTGGCTCCCACAGGACAATCGCTGCCCCCTGACCTCGTAGCAACAGCAATACCGGGGGGCCCTGCGGCCAGGCCTGGTGCTGTGAGCAGGGCTCCCCGTGCCCCTGGCCCAGGGGCCTCTTCCCTGCCCCCTCGGTTTTCCACTTTTGGGGTTTTTTTATTATTATTAAACTGATGGGACTTTTTGTGTTTTTATATTGACTGCAGCGCGGGCCCTTTAATAAAGCTAGGACACGCC